ACAAACTCACAGAATACCAAGATATGCGCTGTTCTCTTGACTGTAAGTCTGGAGTTATACATTAGAAATAACCGAAAAAGTGTCGGCGTCCGTCGGTGACAGAAATAATAGGCTGACCCATTAAGCACAATTCCACATATAGAATCTTCTTAATTGTGGTTCTGGTTATCAGCACACACTAAAATTCTTATGTCTTGTGCCGCCTATCGGAAAAAGTTTGCAGGTCGGCCGCTGACAGCTTCCGGTGTTCTCAGCATACAGAAAAGGCTTGCAGTCAAAGGTGTGTGAATCGCAGGTAAACGTTACTTGTTTGATCTGCATTATATCATGGAGCTCATTATACCATTGCCTAGTCGAATTTTTCGGCGATTAAAAAGTCGAAAGTGTCATCTGTGTAAAGAAAATAAATATTTTTGATATTGTGAATTATTGGTATAAGGTTTGTGTCCACTAATTAAGTTTAGTATGATAAGTGACAGATCTTTTAGTAAGAGCGCTTGATTGTGAACACTTACCACTTTTACATTATTAAAAACAGAAGAGCGCGATCTGCATCTCGTTCAGCATAATATTAATTCAGTAGAATGATTAATTTTAAAATCAAATATATCAGGTGTCAGGAATTTATATTCTCTGATGTGCGATATTTTTGTTGTCGGAAAGTATAATCACTATAAGCGCATAAAATTACGTTCTTCATGCCTAAGCCATTACACTGTTCGTTTTGTAAAGCCACAGAAGCCACATTATGTTTCGAAAACGATGATATATGAAGCGTAGAAAGAAATCAGTGCTACCAATAACGACCACAACACCAGAAAAACCGATGAAGAATAGCCGGCAAATATCTTTCACATGGACAAAATTAGTTCTGTCAGCCCTTGTACCACTGATGATCGGTATTTTTACTGTTGTGTCAACCATTCAACAACAACGCATTCCCAATGAACATCGACGACAGGATCACCAAATTGCAGCAACACAACGAAAACAAGATCAAGATTTGGCTAACCTTACACGAATCAAGGATCAACAAATAGCTAATCTAACACGTGAACAAGATAAACAACATACAACCGAATTAAGAAGACAAGATCAACGTCAAGCGAAGGATTTTTATTCTAATGATGTTTTTAAAACGTACATCGAGGATATATTAAATTCATTGTTTAAAGCGAACCACGAATCGAAATTTGTTGACGATGCAACACGACCGTCATATATTCGTGCAAAGACTCTGACAGCACTGAGAGAATTAGATCCTGACCGAAGAAAACATGTATTGCTATTTCTTTACGAAACTAAACTTATTAACATGCAGCTAGCAACTGAAAACGGATCGTCCTTGCTTTTACATTTATCAACTGCTGAGTTCAGTCATATTCAATTTGAAAGTTCGCTTGAACAAACATATTAATTTAATGATTTGCAGTTACCACAGGTTTATCTATTTTAATTCAATGTCAGGGCATATTAAAATGCCATTTTCGATTTGTACGAAAACCTTTTTAAAAAGAACGATATGTTATCATAATGAAGGCTATCTGTGGAAACGCATATTTCACCTAGTTCAACTTCTGCATTCAGCCGTTTATTCGATTCATCCCAAAATCTAAGTGTAACAGTCACATGATTCCTTCCACAAAAACCGACAAAATGACCTGATAGATTATAGTATGCTGAATCACTATTAATGCTGAAATTTCACTAAGATCGAGCGTTTGAGCCATCGACTTGGTTGAAAAACTGGTTACACCAAAATAACATTTACCTGAATCCAGAGATGTTTCATTCTTTGTCAAATCATACGGAATAGCTGGTATTCCGTTTCCGTACCATCCACCTTCAATGTCTTCAGATGATGCATTTTTCAAGCACTGCAAATAAAAAAATAAACTAAGCATAAATAAACGTAGAACTTAGACCTACATTTGCTTCCGCATCTCCATTTACAACTATATTTTTCCCCTATCAGCTAGCAGCCATGTTCCATTTGGTAACAATGTATTGTGAATAATTCTACCACTTTCTCGCACATTTTCTATTGAAATGATAGTTCTAGCAAGGTTTATGTTGCTAAAGATAACCGGGCTTGAACCGCTAAAGTCAACACCTGTAAAATCTGCACCATCAGGAATTGCTGCATGGAAGAAAACACCGTCCAGTTTAGCTTTAGTAAAATTTACATTTGAAAGTAATGCTCTTTTGAAATACGCTCTAATCAATACGGTACGTTGAAATTTAGCATGGCCTAATAATGCATCCTGAAAAGATATCGAGTACGTACTAGGTTCGAAACCTAGTACGTTTCGGGTGTGATATTCTGTAGTGTTTAACGCGGTGATTATCATTGAAAAGTGGGAAATGCTAGAAGACGCGTGAGAACGAATACTCCAAAATTCATCTTGAGTGAGCATCTTGGAAGCAGGGATGTCCCAGGTTATCAAGATCGGGAGGGGTCAACTTCTCAGAGGACAGGATGGACACTCAAAGGGTAGGGTCGACCACTCCTGCTGAGGTTGGTGAGAAAAAAACGAAAAACTTCGTTCAGTTTTGATAGGAAAAAACGAAAATTTTCCAACACTGGATGTCACCCTCGACCCAC